CCCAGCTCCATAATCCACAAGCGGGTGGAGTTTGGAAATATATTGCTCCTCCATTGCCCCTCGTGGAAGTGGAAGAAGCTCTTAGATCAGAAGCTCTCTCCTCATGGTTTGTCTGCTGCCGGCGCGTGGGTGCTGCTGTGTGAGGGGACCCGCTGCTTCCTCCTCTCCTGCCCCCTCCTGCGTGGGAGAAGCCGGGAGCGAGGACGGGCTCCGTCCCCGGGGAGCCGCAGGGAGCGCCCAGCAGAGCCGCTGCCAGGGCCATCCCGCCTGGCCGCGCAGGTCTCCTCCCACCCTGCTCCTGTCCCGCTCCCGCCACCGCTTCTGCAGCCGCGTCACACCGCAAACCCCCTGAGTGCCAGAGCAAAATCGGTGGCACCCCGCTCCCGGCAGCTCGGGGGACAGATACATCCCGGCTGCAGCTCGGGCAGGGGAAGGGGCCTTAGGAGTTTTGTTTCCCAGATTTTTCCCAGGGAAATAAGAGATCAGGGTTGAGGGGGCAGGAGGGTCTCTATGTTGAATTATGAGAGGAAAGCTGTTCACCAGCAGTGTTCAGAAGGTCGCAGTGGTGCTGCTGATGGCAAGGCTTTCACAGCTGCATGCAGGACAGATGGGCAGAAGCAGAGGATGCTCTCAGTCTGCTCACAACTGCAGAGCTGCAAATCAGAATCACATCCTGAGTTGCTCTAGGTCTTTTTGTGATTATTTGGTGAGGAACTGGAGAGAACAAAGCCTCACATCCAAACCCATCTTCTCCTTACAATGTATGAGTCTAAAAATCACCATAATGCTCCCTCAAGAATCAATGCCAACTTTTGTTCCAGGTTCCAAACAGGTGTTATAGGCTCATCTATCAATTCGCACATGCGAGTCTTGATTTTAGTGCATGCAGTCTACAGACCTGTGGTTAAAATGCCATTAACTTGGCTTTTAGCCTGGGTGGCATCCAGGCAATACATTGATGAGCTGAGTTATTCTAAATTATGCTAAAAGTACAGCCATCCTCTCCTCAAAAGAATACTCGGTCCCTTCCTCTGGTTTCATAGGATTAAATACACTTTTTTTTTTCCTTTTTTTTCCTGCAGTTTATAAATGTCTTGGGAAAAACAAGGTAAGGGAAAGATGCTTCCTTCTCCAGTTGAAGCTGGATCACTCTATACATAGGTCCCAAGGTGGAGTGAGCAAGAAAACAGATGGTACTTGACTCTCTAGGATGGTGCAGAGGGGAGCCCTTGCTCCAGAACAGTTTATACACTTTACAAATATTATTCATGACATAAAGAAATGGATAAAATCCAGCAGAAACAGGGCTAGAATCCTGTTCTGAACTGACCCTCATAAATATTTGAAATGATCCCATCACATGTTCCTGCTGTTGGCTTCCTGTGAGGAGCAAGATAGTTGTGGAGAAATACATATGATGGGTTTGAATCCTCTTCAGTCCTAAGGCTGCACCTGAAATCCTGTTTTCTCATTTCTAAAGAGGTGCCCTATTAGAGTTTTCTGCAAGGATAATGATGGTTCAGTATTGGCCACTAGCAAAAGGTTCAAATGAACCAATCTCTTGGAGATGGCTCAGTGTATAGTTATCATTTGAGAGCAACAAAATCAGAGGTACCTGGGATCACACCCCTGCATCAGGATTTCCCATTGCCAGCATGTCAATGGTGTTGTGAGTTTTACTAAGTTTGCCTCACTCACTGAACAGAGAATTTAAGTACCAAAGTTAATGCTACTTCTGCTCCCAGAGACAGAAACACCATTTTAAAATAGGACTGACCACTAGAAGGACTAAGAAGTCCCTTAGGGTCTCTGATCCTTAAGCATCCAATTCCTCTCAGAAGAAATTTTTGCTGGAAAATAAAAATGAATCACAAACGAGACTTCCTATCTGGACGTATTTAGAAGATGCCACCAGGGTGATGTATGAACATGACAGGAAACAGCCCTCAACCTGAACATCTTACCATGTTAAAAAGCAAGGCAGGAAAAGGTAAGAAGAGGACTGAGGCACAAAAAAAATGAATAACTCATTCATTCTCTTTTCTGGCAAGAAATTATCTTTACAAGCATGAAGCAAGCATTCATTTGCTTGATAATGACCCTAGTCCTGTGGTCGATTGCTTGATTAGTGCTATTATTAAAAAAGGAGAAGTTGAAAACAATAACAGCCTTTTGTGTTGGCTACAGAAAGCTTGAATCAAACCAGTAAACATCCATGATCTCATTTTAGGTGAAGCACTTGGTATTACTTGCAGTACTAGACTACTGGTACTGCAGTGTAGTCGCACATGATACTACCTCCATTGTCTCTAGTTCAGGTAATTTAGGAAACTCCTGGGACTTGTCTTCAGTAGGAAATGAACAGCAGTCATAACTTCACATTCATGAAATCCTAAGCCAGTAAGTCCACTCAGAGTGCTGCAGCACTTTGCAGACTGTTTCCTTTCTCATAACAAACTCCCATGTTACTAATTGCCTGAGGAATGCTTAA